CGATTCATCTGCCAGGGAGTCCGACAGGCGCTGAGCGCCCGTCTCGTCCCAAGCCCCCCGGGGAAGTATGCTGTCCGTGTCCTCATCACACACCATATCTCAAGGGTGGAGAGGCTCGCACCGCGTAGTTCCTGCTGTTGAACGCGCAGTGGGGAGGAGTCACAGCCTGCCATTCACTGGGGTAGCCCGGATCCTATACACCCCGTATCCTCCGCATACTAACACGTCTCGTGTATCGCACACGTCTGATGACGACTCATTGCTCAGCTTGCGTTTGAACTGACAGAATTTAGGCCTATCGGTTGCATCCTCCTCAACAGGGCCGTGAGAATTCACCAGGCTTAACCACATGGTGGCAAGAGGAAGAGAAGTCCATTTTTGGCCCTACCGCAACCCAAACTGCTTACGGCTATCATCCGGAAGTCATGAATCAAGGCGAGAGGGTTAGTCTTCGACAACCCAGTCAGTACTGACTCAAATGGAAATCTCTCTACAAACAACGAACATCTGCGCATTACACAGTGAATGCATTCAGCAATGTACCGGCAAGCGACCTTGCGGAATGAAAGCGATTTCCCCAGTGACGCGTTGACCGGTTCTGGATTCTTTTACATAAAGAACACTCACTTCTGGTCTGGCTCAGAACGGCAGGCGAGATTTATACTAAATATCAGCACATGAGATCTGAGAATCCTTCTCTAGTGCTATCGGAGCTGAGCGCTGCCCCAAACGATGCTCAATACCTTGCGTCACTTCGGAATTTGGAGCCCTCAGAAGCCCTGGGTCTACAACCCCATGACTTGACAGCAGCATGCATGTCTCCAAACGTGGAGTCCAATGCTGAGTGCTGCAGTCTGTTCCCTCTGTCATAGCTCTCGTAGCCTTGTATAAATATCCCTAACTCGCTCCCTCAGCAACCCACCACCACCACAATGCACTCTAGCATCGCCAAATCCTCCTTGTCCTCTGCGGACAACAAGCACTTTGCCTACGCCCGGTCTCCTCACCATGATGATCACTACCCTGTCCTCCAACGCGACCACATCCTCACCGACATGCTGGCCCACATCGATGCTTTCCTCGTAGCCCACCACCTCGACCAGTTCGTCGACACAGGCGCGCTTAAAGACCAGGTGTTGCGCCCCGTGCTCGCGCACAACTTTGACCCCGAGGTCCAGCTCCGCGGCTTCCTGCACGCGATCCGGCGCACCCCCGAATTCGCGGCCGCGCTCGCTGCGATTCGGGACCCCGAGTTGCGCGGGCGGGTCAACGCGTTTGCTGAGGGGAAGAGCGTCAAAGATGTGCTGGGCGGGGCAAACTTTGTCTTGCCGGTGAGCGGGAGACACGGTGTGAAGGCGGAGGGGTTCGTGGACACCCTGAAGACGGTCAAGCCGATGGATTTGCCCACGGTCTATGAGGACGAGGAAAAGACGAAGGTTATGGAGGTGAGTGGATTGTGCTCCATCATTGGCAGATCGGACATCGGCTTTTCCTGACTGGGTTCTGATAAACCACAGGTGCATTTCCGCGAACCATTCTCCAACTGGGGCCAAACAGTGAACCACGAGCCACGCTACACCTTCCTTCCAACCACCGTCCTCGGCGTGCAGAACCTTGTTCGCTATGCTGTGGCCAATAAGCTGCGCGTGCGTTGCGCGGGGTACCGGCACAGCTGGTCACCCATCTTCTCGCAGGAAGACAACATCCTCGTCTCCTTCGTCAACCTGGAGCAGGTGACTAAGCTGCCGAACCCGATGAGCCTGCTGCCTGGCGACTTCGTAGGCGACGGTGAGCTCAGGACGATCGAGCTCAAGGAGCAGCTCGGCGAGACGAAGCGGCTGTGCCGCATCGGCGTCGCCGTTACGAACGAGGACTTCCGGCGGTGGGCCGTGGCGAACAACGCGTGGGCTCTGCCCGTCGACGTCATCCTCGTCGAGGTTACCGTCGGCGGCGTCAACGGGCCCATCTGCCACGGTGCGGGCCACCGCCACCAGACGTGCTCCGACGGTGTCCGCCGTGTCGAGTATGTCGACTGCAACGGCCGGTTGCAGGTCGTCGACGACCCCAAGCTCATCAAGGCCGCCGCCGGCAGCTTTGGCCTCCTCGGTGTCGTCACGCACATCACCTTCGAGCTCGACAAGATGACATACGCCGTCATGCAGCCGCGCAAGGTGGACGTCGGTCTGGCCATTCCTCCGTTGAAGAAGGAGGATATCCCGCCGGCGCTACGGGCGGACTGGTTCGACGCCAAGGACGCGGAGAAGCAGATGGAGGCCGCTCGGTTGGAGTTTGAGAGGCGCGCTGCGGACGACTATTACAGCGAGTGGTTCTGGTTCACATACCAGCAGAAGGCGTGGGTCAATACGTGGAACGCAGTCGAGGAAGCGACCGACGTGGTCGAGTATCCGGATTATGCTGCTACCTTCCTGCAGTGGATCGAGGGATGGCTCGGTGGTATCCTGACCTCGTGGTTAGTTCAATCCCACCCATGAAGGTGTCTGGAGGAGTTTGCACTCATGATTGAATTCTAACAGTAAGGTCTTCAACGCCCTCCCGGGCCAATGGCAGGCGCAGCTGCTCGCAACCAGCGGCATGGCCGCCCTGCCGCCCTACTTCAGCGAGAACGACACTCCCACCATCAGGTATGTCTTCTCCCTTCTCCAACTGCGCGCACCGACCAATTTCATCCCTACAACTAACACTGTGCAAAAGGACGCACCTCACCAACGCTCTGCACTTCCGCCGCGGCATCCAGAACATGCGCGTCCGCGACATCGAATACCAGATCCCTATCCCACCGCTGCACCCGGGCGATCCCGCCTCTGCCCCGGACTTCTCCATCGTCCAGCGCGCGTGGTGGGACATCATCGCGCTCGTCTACTCGTACGCCGACGGCACCGCGCCTATGCGGCTCACGCTCGAGATGCGCATCATGGGCGGCTCAGACGTGCTACTTGCACCGCAGCACGGCAATGCGCCATGGGGTACCGCCAGCATCGAAGTCCTCACCGTGCCCGACGCCGTGACAGACAACGAATGGAATGGGTTCATCCAGAAGGTCACGGATATATGGATGGGCTACGAGTACAAGGTAAAGGAAGGAGGAGTGAAGGAGAAGCTGAACGTCAGGCCGCACTGGGCTAAGGAATGGGATGGGCTGACCCTGCACGGCATGGAAGCACGGAAGTATCTCAAGGAGGTGGCGTACAAGGAGCAAATCCCGGCGTTCAGAGAGGCATTGGCCGAGATTGGGAAGGGCCAGGGGTGGGGGCTCGCGGATCTCAAGGGGCGGTTCTCGAACGAGTTGTGGGACGAGCTGGTGTTCGATAAAGAGTGAGCGTGTGGGATGGCTCTGAGGATGGGCTGGGAGGAGTGTCCATGGTGTATCCAACACACGTAGACAGTACACATACAAGCTTCTTCCTTGCCTATGCGTCAATTCATTGAATTCGGAACACCTCTGACTCCTGACCATCATCGCCGCTGGACATGCCCGCCGAACTCAGTGCACCATACTAGCCTATCTCACGGAGTAGTTCCCTAGTCGGCGGTCCGTCACTGCGATAACATTGATAACATGGGCCCAACCCAATCAGAATTCCTTCCGACTCGATGTCGCTCGGGAACAGAACACCTCCCGGCGTAGCGCACTCGACGCACGTCTGAACGCTTCCAATATGCCAACAGCCCATAATATCACGGACAGTACCTGTCGTGCCCTGCGCGCAGTAGGCCGGCAATGGCACACAGTCGCCGTGCATCCCCGCTCGTTGCCTACCAGCCATAGCCCCAAACGCCGGACAATCCACGGCTCGGGCCGTTTGCTATGTACCCACTAAGCAATTCGGTTTCATCAGATTCGAAACACAAGATGAGCGACGAGAAAAAATAGCGGCTCACTTCGGATATCCATTGGAATGCGTGGCCAACACAATGGACATCCCACGAGTAAGGGTCGAGGTGCGTCATCCCGTTCGGCGGAGCGATGTGGGACGGCGGTAGCTTGATTGCAGGCTGCCTTCCCGGCCCCAGCTCAAGCTGCTGTGACTCGCCGAAGTCCATGATGTAGATCTTGTTTACTTCAAGCGGTAGATCAGGGTGATATTTGAGGTGCCGCTCGTCGACGAGCAGCAAATTGTTGGTCACAAAATCCTGGTTTGACAACACCGTCAGCACCTCGCATCCTGAACGCAGTATACGGACACACCAAATGTGCGATCTTCTGTTCGTGGAGGAACTCCACTCCCTGTCGGAACGAGGATCAGAATCCCGTCGAACGTACGAAGCGATGCACAGCACCTCCAAAATCTGGTAGTAGCATTGGAGGAGTTGCTTGAGGTCCCATGTACTAAAGCTTGGCATGAATTCGTTCACTGCTGGCAAAACCAGCAGTGGTCGCTCTCCAGGTATTACCTCGGAGCCAGGTAGTGTGTGATTGGGAGAAGCCGGGCTCAATCTGCGAAGTTGCTCGTATATGTTTGCTTCTTGGCCAGCAGGATTGAGTACTTTCACTACATATGGCGGAGTATGCCCAGTCGTCCTCCACGCAACATTCTGAGTATTGTTGAGATTGACGTCCAGGCTAAAAGAATCAGAGTTATGTTGTTAGACTGACCGGTTTGAGGACCATGCGGAGCTGGTATCCCCTCGCCTTGATCTCCGGATGATCCTTGACCCAGTCCGGAATGAGAATGTATTCATCTCCGGGTAACATCGTTAGAGAGAGAGGATGGTCGCCGGGAGTGGGTGGTCAAGGTCGTAAGCGAGGTTGCGAGGAGTCGGGGCGCCCAGCCTCACTGTACAGTGGGACTCAAGATCGCCAGAAGTCTCGGATGGTCGTGAACAACCCTTGCCATATTCACCGCAGGCTAGTATCCCGAGATAGCGGCGGCAACAAAGGGACTCCTCCTCGTTCAGACCAAACGCATCCCCTATAGGTCTCCGTCCTCCCTTCTCGAAACGCGCAAACAAGTGACTATGGCTACGGTAAAAACGAAATGAGCCCCTGGTGGGACTCGAACCCACAACCGCCAGATTCACATGCCGTAGAAGTCTGACGTCCTAACCATTAGACTACAGGGGCACATGACAAAAGGCGTTTATTACATCCATGATGGGACACGCGAAGTGCTCCGGGTGGTAAGGCTCCTAAACACCGGTTGTAGTAGTATACTAGCACCGTCCATCCCTTGGTAGGGGGACCATAAACCCATTGGACTATCCCCTCAGACTGCTACTGGTACGTTGCTATCGACTTGCAGTGACAACTTGATCTTGGGAGTCTTGCGCAATCGCGTCGGCAGAGCTGGCCCGCGCTGGGCCCGCCGACTCAGTCCACGACTCGTCCGAGAAACTCCGGCGTGGCAAGTTGCTCGAAATAATCAGCTTGATCGCACACTGGACCGCATTCACATGCCCCGGCTATTGCTAAGTACCGCGGCCTCTAGGCCAAAGTGAGTACATTGCTCACGAGTGGTTTTCAGGCTGATCGCAGGCGATCATCAGTACAGCGACACCCGGTCTGCAAGGCAACTTCATAGCAGAAAGGTACTAGTCTCCGTTCCCAAAGAGAAAAGGCATGCTGTCATCAACCGCTATAGCCTATCGTCTCTGGACGAGCGCTCACATGCACATTGTACGCTGGAATTGTGAACGTCGCCTTGACCAATTGCACGCGACTGTGTGCGCTGGTGGATTCAATACATGATCTTCCATCCTCCGGACGGAGCGTATCGAAGGTTGGTGATCCGTCTCAGCGCTCATGATCGTCCGCCGAGACATACTCATGGCTATATAATCAGACACACACTCTCTCCCGTTCCCGTCGCGTTGCCCCGCTCGTTGACCTCCGTTGACAAACCGTCCTCACCGAGCGCTGATCCGGTAGGTCCTCGATTGCTAGTTGATGCATCGTTATAAATCGGTTGGCACTAACAGGTCCTCTCTCGGTTCGTACCTGGCGACTTCTCTCCTTTAGCTTGTTCAAGACTTCACCAACATCGTCGTAAACTCCTTCCCCCGCTATACAGCATGTCCGAACAACTTAGTTATCTCTCTGCGAATCAAGTTCTCACCGGCATATTCGGTGCTGGTCTGGTGTGTCTTTGGAATTCGCTTCGAAGGACTCGGCTTTTCGAACTTGCACTAACGACGCTCAATGTCATCTCTCAGGTCGCCCACCAGATCTTTAAACGCTACGAGCCTCAAAGGCTCCGAATCCAACTTACTATACTCCTCGTCCCTCCCCTCATCTCTTCGATCTTACTCTATGGCAAGCTCCCACTAGTCGGCGCTGTTTTTGCCTCATTTGCCCTCTATCTCACCACTCTGGTCTCATCACTCATTATCTACCGGCTCTCCCCCTTCCACCCCCTCGCTCGCTATCCTGGCCCTACGCACCTCAAGATCTCCAAGTTGGCATTGACTCTGCTCGCTAGCAGGAAAGGCATACAGCACAAGTACATCAAGTCCCTCCACGATCGCTACGGCGACGTAGTCAGGACTGGCCCCAACGAGATCTCCTTCTGTGACCCGGATGCGCTCTTGACCGTTAGCATGCTGCCAAAGGGTCCCAGTATGTTGCATCATGCGTTTCACGGACACGACACTTCCTGACCACCTCGCAGGATGGGTCTCCCAGGTCATCTCGTTTAGCAACAAGCCGTCCCTGATCGCAGAACGCAACACGCACGAGCATGCCCGCAAGCGCAAGCCCTGGAACCGCGCCTTCAACTCGGCTGCTCTCAAGGGCTACGAAGATATCATCGCCAAGCGTGTCAGCGAGCTAGCCGACGGTCTCGCCAAGCAGAAGTCCGAGGTGGACTTGGGCAAGTGGATCGGCTGGTTCTCGTGAGTGCTAGATGGAGATATGCCTGTGCCTGCTCACGCACTCACTCGTTCACAGATATGATTTCATGAGCGACATGGCGTGAGTCTCTGCTGCCCTGCAGAGGAGATAACCCTTAGCTGATGTCGCGTTCTAGCTTCGGTGGCGGCTCTGAAATGCTCCGAGATGGCGACGCTGGCAGCAAGTGGCACATGTTAGAAGAAGGCCAAGCGTCAGTCACTCCGTGCTTCGCCGTGGGCGTGCATGCTCATTGAAATGTTACAGTGCGTTGCATATTATCGCCCAGATCCCCTGGCTCGCCTACTACATTCGTCGTCTCCCCAAGGCGGCCAATGGCGTTCGACGCATGTTCGCCTACGGGTCCGGCCTCGCGGCGGAGCGCATCAAGGGCGGTTCCCTGCGTCGTGATCTCTTCTACTATCTGGTATACGCTTCCCCACTACCGTCCGTATGCGCTCATGTATACCGACATTGTCTTCGCATAGAACAACGAAGACGGCGTTGAAGCCAAGTCTTCCGATTTCGCGGAGATCATCGCCAATGGCACTCTGGCTATGATCGCGGGTTCCGATACCACCTCCATCGCGCTCTCCAATATCTTCTACTTCGTGATCAAGGATCCCGCGGTGTACAAGAGGCTCCAAGCTGAAGTCGACCACTTCTTCCCTCCCGGAGAGAGTGCGCTCGAGACAAAAAACCACCCGAACATGCCCTACCTGAACGCAGTGATGTGAGCAGCTATCTACGTATGGCCCGTCTAGCCACGACAGTGATAAACTGACGCTTGCGCGTGTTCCAGCAACGAGACCCTCCGCCTCGTGCCTATCGTCCCCGACGGTAGCCAGCGCCAGGTTCCCGAGGGCTCTGGAGGTCGGGTGGCCGGATCGCAGTGAGTAGCGCATCCATCTCCCGACCGACTGGCATGCGACTGGCTGATCATTCGGCGCGAACACAGCTACCTCCCCGAGGGCACCGTCACCTTCGTGCACTTCTACGCCCTCCACCGCGACCCGAAGCACTTCGCGCCCGCAACCGAGGAGTTCTGGCCCGACCGCTGGCTCATCGCCGCCGAGGAGCAGCACGGCGGCGCCGTGTCCGCCGGGGCCCCGACGCGGCCGCAGGACTTCGTGCACAACGCGGCGGCGTTCGTGCCGTTCTCGTTCGGGCCGAACAACTGCGTGGGCAAGAACCTGGCGCTGCAGGAGATGCGCATGCTCGTGTCGCACATCATGCAGCGCTTCGACCTGCGCTTCGCGGACGGGTGGGACGCGCGCGAGTACGAGGACGGCTTGCAAGACTGGTTCACGATCCAGAAGCCGGCACTGCGGGTCGTGTTGACCCCGAGGCAGGCTTGATTGTGTTCGACTGTAGTATGTTGTAGCTTGGGATGTATATGGACGGTGAATTGGTGTAGTTATGTGCAAGTAGCTAGGCCGCTGACTCGGAAGCGCGCCCTCAGAATGTACCTAGCTAGTCTCTGTTGCCAACTGTGGCTTCGAGAAGGTTATGATGGTCGATCTTCATCAAGTCAATCAGAATATTCACTTAGACATTTACAACCTTAAAGTGACGAGACTGGCCGCACGATGTGACACTTGTGGTTTGGTTACCATGGGTCCATCGGGTATCCGGGCCGCACGCGTCTCGCAGTGCGCACAGACACAGCGAGGAAGGCTCATCGACACGCAAGATATGCAAGGATCCGACCAAGAACGCAGATACGATCCAGAGCTTCCACCGTAAGATCGCCGTGAGGTGGAACAAACCGGGGAGCGGAAATGACGGTGTGAGTACGAGGTCGCCGGCGACAAACACACTGAACGGACACGTCGGCACTGGCAGTCGCACACGAGCATCCCCTTTGCCTCCTTCTGCATCACCGACGACTAGTCGCTAGCTATGCTGCTGCTCGAGCTGCCGCTGAAACCAGACAGCTCAAAGCTCGCGATCGTGAGTGTCCTCCACGACACTGAAGGCTGACGCTCAACATGCGCACGCCGTACACCGTCCGTACAGACCATGGATGCCTGCTACCGCGCCCTCCTCAAGGCATGGCTCCTCGCTTGGCCGCTCGCGTTCCCCGGGGGAATGTTCGTCATCAAGTACTGTGTGGACGGCGCTGGGGCCGCTGGGCGTCTCCGCGCGTTCTTGCGACGGGTGCGCGAATACGCATGTGCGTGCGTCCGACGAGGGAGCACCGTCAGCCTGGATCCGTCGCGGTACAGACGGTTTCGGAACACCGAAGAGGAGGAGGAGTACTGGCAGGCGAGTGAGAGGATGTGGAGGACGTTGAGGGCGTCTGACGCGAGGGCGGAAGTCGAGGACGAGAAGCGCGTGCCGGTGGTCAGGTATTACACTCCTAAGTTGCTGCCGGCGTACCGGGAGGAGGGAGTCGAGGATGCAGAGGCGAGAGAGGTGGGCCTGTCGCCGAAGGCGTTCTGCAAGTGGCATAGGATGGTGTTCCCCGGGCCGGTGAGTGCTGCAAGGACTCGGCGTGCAATTGCAGCGCTCAGGCAGCGAGGCTGATGCGTGCGGTGTAGGCGCACCCGACTACGAATGAGGCCCGGGAGCAGATCAGATTTTATAGTAGTCGAGATCGAAGGGAGATCTTGCGAATATCCCGCATGTTGGGGGACAGAGAAGTCTTTCAGAATCGCGGTAAGACGGCTTGGACGCCACGGTATGCGAAGATCTGGAAAGACTGGCTGGACACGAAGGGTCCCGACGTGGCCGTTGTGTTTGAGTGACGATATACTCCTACTCTTCCGCGAGTACTGTTCCCGTCTCATGTTACGGATATGTACGTGCTGACTGCTGCTGATGATTGTATTTTTGTATGTAGCTACCTCTAATGATTCTCGTCAGCCTGCCGGTATCGTAGATGAAACTCGTGAGGCGCACCGCTCTACATCTGCCCTCTCCTCATCAAATTCCGCCGGACCCTCCGCCGCTCACCGCCTGCGCCCTCGCCCTTGCCCCATCGGAGGTACGGGACCTTGGCCCGCTCGTGGCCCGCAACGTCCCCGCCATCGTCGAGCGCGCGATAGTCTAGCATGCCCCAGACGGGAAGCTGCACCTCGCCCATCACGAGCACGCGCGCGGACGCGAGGAGGCGCGGCGGGACCGGCGTTAGCAGCTGCGCGTACGCGGACGTGTGCGAGATGGCGCGGACGAGCGCGAGCCCGACGCAGCGGGACGTGTGAGGCGGCGGCGGCGCAGCGCCTTGCTCGTACGGC